CCAATGTATTAGTTACTACTGATTTTATTTCCTTTCTAAAATGGCTAAATCAGTTACCACTTATGGAAATCTTAGATTCCCCAGTGTGGAGTTTATATTCCTAATTTTTGTAAATCTTGTAAAATGTAAATCATGCATGATTCCTCACTCACATACAAAGGTTTGCAAGGTTTGGTTTTGTGGTTTCAGATTTTATTCTGTGAAATAAACAGTAACTAGCTTTGATTTTTTTAAATAGTTTTTCATTTTATAGTCTTGTCTATATAAGACTCTGTAACAGGATAAAGTTAAAAAGGAGATGATGATACAATCGTGGAGACATTCCATCCAAAGTTGTGATCAAGTAATATATTGACCGTATTTTCCTGAATATGTCCAGGGATTATCTGCTTAAAACCAAGACAAAAATGTCAGCTGAGTGATTTAGTAAAAATCTTGAATTACATACGCGTGTAGGTAAGACGGAGAAATTTGTCCTGGAACTCCTTTTCTCCTCTGGCTCTGCTCCCTTTCTCCCAGCTATTTCCTTGCCTCTGTTCTTACTGCTGTTTCCATTTTTAATGCACAGTTGTTTGAGCATGGCTTTTCAAGGAGTAGTACTTCTAATGGTTCTTCATGCCATCTGATGTGGCTTATGTACCAGAAACCTCCTGACTGACTGACTTACGATGTTAAGAATGACGCCGTTTCAATTATATGGAGAAGTGGTGCCAGCTAGGAAGGTATGTGAAAGGGACAGTGAAAGGTAGGAGACCCTGGCTGGAATCACAGCCTCGCTGCACTGGCTGTTGTGCAAACAACAAGTAAGTGCAGTCTCTACCCAAAAGTAGTTCAGCCCTGTTCTGGGGCCTTGCACAATCTTAAGGCAGTATCTGCACACTGAGTGATTCTTCCAGATAACATTTAATCACATGTAGATATGCAAATGTATGACTGGAAAGAAAATAAAGATCGAGGGGATGTCTCATTTCTGGTGCTTTGCCATACTTACCAGGTACATCTCTACAGCTAAAGAGTGTCGGGGAGAGAGCCCAGCTACTGGAGCCTGGATAGTCCTGAACTCATTTACCCATTTATACTGCCTGAAATCCAGCATCATCTCCAAGTTGAAGAGAATGAAAAATGCCATGCTAGTTAATAGCTGGCAGTAGGTGTAGCTGCTTCTGTGAAATGCTGTCTCTGTTCGCTTTCCTGTCCAAATGGGTACAGAAAACATAAAGGAGGTTCCAATTCAGAAGCTCTACTCTGAAGATGGATCTACTTGGCCTGCTCATTTTAGAAAGAGCGTGAGTCAAAAAGACTTGAAAGATTTTCAGAAGAGGAGGAAATTTAAGCTGCATGGTTTCCTGTCCCTTCTATTGCAATACAATGGGATTGAAGCAAGTTTCCCATTAAAAAGAGCAAACATGGAAGGAGTGGCATTTATAGCACAGGAAATCATTACAGTTCCATGTAGTAAGCTGAAGATGAGCACTGATACTTGATAGACAAACTCTAATAGGAATTTTTGAATGGAACGTAGAGAAATGAACAACCTTGAACACTTTAAACAATATCTAATTAATACAAGATTAAATGGAAGGCTTTTACCTAGGGACTTGTAATTATAAACCCCAGGATTTCTTGTTTTTTTGTTTTGGTGGGGTTTTTTTGTTTGTTTGGGTTTGGTTGTTTGGTTTTTTGGGTGGTTTTTTTCTTTTTTTGGGGGGGGTGTTTCTTCTTTTTTTTCCCCAGCTAGTACCTTTCAGTGATGGCAACTCATTTATTAGACTACCTGAATACAGAATCCAGTCCCAGGTTTTTAACATCATCATTCCTTTGGGCATACTTGTGATAAAACTGATCATACAATTTCAAGAAGAATTGAGAGAGTAGTTTCCAAACAGGTGTTCTCTTTCCACACCCTCATGTTATTTCCATCTTCCCTGGACTGAGTTGCTGTGTAATGGTTTTACCAAACATCATTTGGTGATCTGGCATTATGTCCTCTTTTCCTGCTGCTAAGCTGCAGTGTTCCTGAGGAGCGACTGACTACATAAAAATTGTTTCGAAGATTGGGCTGGGGAAATTATCCATGTTGCTCTATTTGACTGAAAAAAAGCAGTCTTCTTGGAAATGTTTCATAATCATATGGATGCAATATAATTTGTTACTTAATGTATTCTGATCCATCACCAATTCTCTCAGCCGTTCTCTAGTACCGGCTGCTAGTCCTGTTGGGATCGGTCAGCTGTCTTAGAACTGCCCCATTGCTCTTGTGATCTCTTATTTTGCCTCCTAAGTAGATGCTACTACTTAGGGGAGGTTTCAGGCTGTATGTTGCATAAATATACATTCATGGAGGAATTGGGATCTTGCTTTTCTGCAATATTCTTACTGTAAAAACAAGGAAAATAATTTCTCAATAAACAAGATGAAACATAAGTGATGGGTAGAAAAGCAAAGGAAATTTTTAACTGATCACTAATAATTCATATCCATAATCCTCTGATTCTGCCAAGATTTCTTATGTTTGATCTTGGCGGTTTAGATAAATGAAAGGAAAAAAAGTTGATTATGTAGCATGAAAATATAGCGTGAAAGTGCCTATGTTTCTCTTTCAGTATGTTTTGAGCCTGTCTAGAGAAATGGAAAGGTTGTTCACTCTGGGTTTTTTTCAGGCTAGAAAGTTTCTATCGAGCTTTAGAACATGCCTTTTTAAAAAAAAAAAGTTTTCAGTTGGAAACTGCAGTTGTGCTATATGTGGGGATTGTGGGTTGAAATCTTATATCAAGTTATAGCAGGCTAAATGATCACAAAATTCCTTTCAGATTTTAATACCAATGTTTTTTGAAAATGAATTATTTAACTTCTGTAGGGAAGCATCTGGCTGAACCTGGATGGGCTCACCCATGCATTTCTGTGGGCAGCTGAGAAATGACTTGACGGCAACATTCAATAGCATGTAAAGGTTTGTCTCTTTGCACATTGCTACGTTTCTTGATACCCTTGTGCTTAATTTTCATTTCCCCTTTTCTCCAGAAGAGTTCAGACTTCAGAGAAAAGGTGGTGCATCTGCACGCTGTGCATGTAACTTCCTGCCTGGGAGCAGAGATTGCCGAAGGAACAATGCTGACTCAACACAAAACCCAGCAGCCTTTCTTCCTCGCCACTTCTAAAATTTCACGCTGTGCCTTGCCAAGTGGAAGATGCTGGAGTGTATCTTTGCAATCTTCTGATTTTCTTTCCCACTTTGCGGGCTGTGATGGGGTCTGCTCAGACAAACACAAACACTGAGGTGAAGCTGACCTTACTATGCTTTACTCTTTTTCAGCCTCTCTCCGCAGATCATCGATAACAGTCCTTCAGCAAACACCGATCTTTCTTCAGAACACAGCTAGTTTCTTTTTCCCTGTTGTAATTGTATTTGTTGCCTCCCAGTAGCTTTGGAGATGCTGAGATGTTGTATACAGCAGAACCACAAGGCGTTACATTTCTCCTGCCTAAATAATAAGAATATTTTTTCCATCTGCACATCTGGAGCTCCTGAACAAGGAAGCAAGGAAAGTTGTAAAGTTGAGGTTGCAGAGTCGGGCATTCCCGTGTTGGGGAGTACCAGGATGCTTTACTCCAGACTCAGTGCAGCCATCTTTGCATATGCATCATAATTCACTGAGTAACTGACCATCTGCTGCTTTGTTGAGGCAGCCCTCTCTTTTCCCCCACTTTCCTCAGGTCTCACTGTCCTTCTCAGGCTCCCATTCTTTCCATGTTTTTGGTCTAGCTATACCTACTGGCCTTTAGGTCCCACTATTTTCTCTCACTGTTGTAATTCTTTTTCTGCTCTAATTCCTTGTGTACCTTTTTAGATGCAGTGAGTCATCCATCTGCATCTGAGTCAGAACAAGAGAAGCAGGATCCCACATCTTCATCTAGGTGTCTAGGGTTTTCATTGCCTACAACAGCAGCAATTTTCAGGGAAAGACTTGCTGCAAATACAATACTGGGGAAGTTAACCAAACCAGCCTCTCCTGAAGATACAGAAACTGGGATTTTTCAAAGGCCATATGCAAACAGCAATGTAAACCTTCCCTGGGAGTGTGTTTTCCCTACCCTCTACGTGTTTCTAATTCTTTTACCTGTCATAAAGAGGAGAGGTTTTTCAAAGGGAAAATCAGAATTTTATTAGAATGCCTGAAGGGTGTGCACTTTAGGGGGTGCAAACTTTCACAGACTAGTGGGATGAAAAATGTGGCAGTATTCCTTATCAGTTTAGTTTTCATCTCTAGCAATAACTGAAAGTCCACCATTTTCCAGTTACAGGTTATCTTCTTCCTAGATTTGTGTGGTTTCTTTTCAGAATTTCTTCAATTGTTGCTGTCAGTTTGGGTACGTTGCTCCTCCATATAGTCAGAAATGGAGCAAAAAAAGGGACAGGTGCCTCCTGGAGAACACAGGTCCTATTTTTTACAGCTTTTCTCTTTTCTGTGGAACTGCAGACATAGGGAAATTCTAGTTCTGTCTTATTCCAGGGTCATAGTTACTTGATTTGCCTGGTGTCCCAGTCCATTTTTCACAGTACTGCATTGCACTCCGGTGTTTTTCATCATTTATTGATACAGACAAATCTTCCTCTTCTTTTTTACCTTTTTCCTTTATTTCTGGTAAAGAGACATTTGTGTCACCTTCTTCATAAAAATGATCCTGAATCATAAGGTACTTCTTCAAAAATCCTCACTAAAATGTTACCTCTTAGATCTCATATTTCCACGGAAGAGAAAACTTTTATACAGTAGAGAAACTAGCTTAGAAAGCAAAGTTTATTCATTAATGTATTATTTCAAAATTACTCATGTGACATGATACAGTTCCTTATTTGCAGCTCAGAACTTCCCTGTATCTGTTGGGTCTTAAAAACCGAAAAGGATTTGTTAATCCGGTTCAGTGCAGAAGGGTTTTCTTGCAAGGCACAGATTTGGTCTTCAGCATCAATTTGAGGTGAAAGGGAGAAGGGAGTGAAACATTTGGCCATGGCTGTCTACCTGCTCCTGATTTTTCTCTTTCCCTTTAGTACATCTCTTCAAATGTCTGGTAAGTTTTTGTCCTCTGCTGAGTATGGAGGTTTGCAAGTTCTTTCTCATGTTTTCCTGATGTCCTCCTTGGTGGACAGTGAGTTTACATCTAGTCACAGCATGTAATTTGGAACAGTTTTATTCAGCTCTTAAATTTGGTGGTATCTGTGTAGGCATTCTGTTTCCTTAACCCGGTTTTCAAGGTGGTGTATGTGTGAAAGAAACATGCCAACAGATGTGGGCATAACCTAGACAGTGCTGATGCTTGAAAATCAGTCAGCTGAATGCAGACAAAAGCCGATCTGAAATTAGTCCATTGGAGGTTAGAACAGCTCAGATGTACAGGGCAGTGTCCTCTCAGCGTGCACAGAACCACTGGCCGATGTGTGCTTTGAGTTTCTTAGACAGCTGGTATTGACTATGGCATACTGATTGTTGCATATTGGAATCCTGTTTCCAAGCTGATGGTTTTGGGAAAGACCTTAAAAGCTTCCGTCTGTTAGATTTCAGACACTCCTACTGCTCAGAGGGAAACAAATGACGCTGTGTCTGCAGCTCTTTCCTGCAGGAGGCTCCCAGCTAGAGAACTGCGGGAGTCCAGTGCTATCGCTCGAGTGGCAGCAGGGACTGGCCAACGCTGATCTAATCCACTACAGAAGAATTTCTTCTGTGCATGTTTTTGGGTGAGACCAAGCTGGCTCTAACCCATCCACTGCTAACCTTCTCAAGAACCACTGCAGCAGGAGATCTGTGCCAGCGGAAATGCCATCTGTCTTGTTCAGATCTGCAGCCTTTCAGAGAAATGTCACCGAGGCTGTTTGACCACTCCCTGGCAGCTCTGGGATGTGGGGGGTTATGAAGTCCCATTTAACTATTCCACCCCTGGCAAGAAACTTTGGGTGGCAGTAAACCTCGATGGCACAGCAGAGTGAGTTGGGTGATGTTGCTGTTGCTTGGAGGGGAGCTAAGGGATGCAAAGTGAGCTGCAAAAATAGTCAAGGTTTGGAGCAGGCTGAAGTTGTGCCCCTTTTTAAAAGCTGGTCTTAAGAAACAAAACCCTGTCGTGCAGTGTCTCACATTTCTATTCACAAGTGTAGCTATTAATGGCACTTAAGATACTTACTTAGCTTAACTGCGCTCAGAACTGAAGTGATGATACTGCAAGTTGTGGCTTCCCTCCTGAGAAACTCACAAGCTGAACTCTCTGAAGAAAAGACTTTTTGCACAGTTGTCAAAAATTTCCAATATAATTAACCAAAAATGAAAAATATCCCACTTGCCTGATGAGCTGAAAACCGCAATGTCATTCTGGGACAAATATAAAAATGGTCGAATTTTGAGTATGTAAACCATTTTTAATAGCTCTAAAGCAAAAAGTCCTTTTACTTGCGAAATTAAAGCCTGTTTAATATGCTGTGTGGTGGTGGAACTTTGAAGAACTCATGAAATTTAATAAAGGTCATTTTTGAATGGCATTTTGAGAACAGTGTGTTTTAAGGACGGATGTGAAGAAGAGCAATTTCTCTTGAAAGAGCTATATTTTCAGCTTCTGTGTTGCTTGCATCTTAAGAACGTTTTGATGAATATCCTTCATACTGACAATTAACCTCCCTTGATTTCTTTCTCTATGGACTCTGTAAGTTCAATGTTTTGTTGTAGCAGACTGTCACATAGCAAGTAACTGACATCTCCTATGAAATCTCTCCTCAGATGTTTGCATTCTCATTTTATTTTATAGACAGTGGAATATTTTCAATCTATAATGAAGATAGCAAGCTCTGCGCCCAAGCTCAAAACTCTAGCTCGGTCATAACTATCGCTTGTGATGAGCACAATGAGTTTCAAAAGTTCAGGTGGGTCTCTGCCACGCAGCTGCTGAGCATGGCACTCAAGCTGTGCCTGGGAGTGCTCGCCAAGGACGACGAGGCTGCCATCACGTTGGAATCCTGTAACAGGACGAATGAGCTCCAGTGGTGGGAATGTAGAAATGAGATGCTTGCAACCCACGGCAAGGATTTATTTTTCAACTATGGCAGAGGGAAGGGGAAGAAAATCAGGTTGTCCAAGGGATCGGGCAAAGGGAGCAGGTGGAAAATCCATGGAACCGCAGACAGCGTGTGCTCCCAGCGCTATGAGGGTGAGTACTGAAAATTAATCTCTATTTCTAGGTAACTTGGCTGCCCCTATTTACAAAGCATTCCACCACCTGCTTGTCGTGCAGCAACCCTTTTCTTACAGCGACATTAGTAGCAGAGCTGACTACAAGTAGGGAGTAGAAATGCAAAGCAAATATGACTGTATACATTTCTGCATAACTTGGAAAGTGCAATTCTGTCAAATGATAGAATAAAATGACAAAGGCCTATGATGAAATCATAAGGGAGAATGGGAATTCTGTTTGCACAGCAACAGCGGGAGGAAATCTATGACTGTTTCAAAATATGTCTGATCAATTTGTAGAAGTGGTGATTGTGCCATATTTAAATATTTATTGTTGCTATTACTTGGTTTGACCATGTACTATCTCTAAGAAGTAAATTTCTAGTTAACATAGATGTGATCCACTTTTAACAGTGTTTACCTGGTGTTTCCCAGGCCCAACAAGAAAAAAAGTAGGAAAAAGCAAAAAGAAAAACAGTGCTTTAATGGTTTAGGATGCAATAAGGCCTAACACCCTGACAAAGGAACACTGGAGAGTCAGATCTCCTTTTCCTCCATCATTATCCCTCTTGGGCTATATAGAGTGGGCATCCAGGCTCAAGTGTTCAACCTCCTTTCTACCATGACACTGGCAGGGTAGGAATTTAAATAACAAGGGATGAAATTTTTGCCGTGCCCTACAACAGTTCCAGCTGGAATGAAGTTTGTCATACTTTTGTTCAGATAGCAGCAAATTAGACTGCATAGAGTTGGGAGGGTCACTTCCCAGCAGAGTCACTTGCAAATTTAAGATAAAACTTCCTCTTATGAAGACTAATAAAATATTCTAATATCTCCTTTCCAAGCCTCTTCAACTGTACAGGGAAAAAAAAAGATCCTAAATATCATCTGAGGAAAGAACTATGCGTGCAATGGGAGAAGCTGAGTCATGAGCACTTCTGACACAGTGGTCCAGATAGCAATGAAAAGAAAATATTAGACAGAAATTAGTCTAAGGGCCAAATAAGGGTTGTTTGAGAGTCTTAATTCTGAATATCTTGCCATAGTCATATCTAATTGGCACAACAGCCTTGGAAAGCTTTGTAGTAATGAAGTACTGATGTGCTGAGCTCTTGCACAACTCAACTGTGTCCATGGAGAGCTGCCTATGAGCAGAAACTGTGGTGACCATCTGATACCACCTGACTACTATTGCTCTATGTTTCTTTCCATAGATATCTATACACTGGGAGGAAATGCCTTTGGTGCACCTTGCGTGTTCCCTTTTAAGCTCAATGGTAAATGGTATGCCGAGTGCATCCCTCGGAGTCATGACGCAGGCTCTCTCTGGTGTGCAACTTCTTCAGATTTTGATAAAGACCAATTTTTTGGAAATTGTCCACTAAAAGGTAATTTTTTTTATAAAGATTTCAGGAAAGGCATTATGCAAAAGTTTCATCCACTCTTATGGTCAAAATCTCCTTGGGATGTGGAAGTAACATTGGACAGTGAGCTGGATTCTGGCTAGCCTAGTTCACTGGTGAGCTATGCAATGATAAAATGAGGTGTCTGCTCTTCACTCTCACTGTTTCTCCAGCAGAGATGAGTAGTCCTACAGTGCTCCTGAGAGTGGTGGATACAGGGAGTACTGTGAGGCTGGTGAATGGGACTGATGGAAAAAGGAAGAGAAAACCCCTAGGACTAGGTGAGAAGAAAGTCAGGGCAAATGAAAGGCAGAAAGAAGTGCAATGGATGAGGAAGGTGAGATATAGGGAAGCAGGACACAGTGGTGTATCATAGGATGGAGCAGAGAACAGGAGGGCTGGAGCAAATGGAAGGGTGCAGGACACCTGCCTTCGGTGCTCCAGTGCTCCTTATACCCACAAATCACCCAACACAGCTTTCCAGTAACCCCAGCACAAATACCCTACCCCTTCACCCCTGCTTCACATCTGATTGGAAACGTTCGTCTCTGTCATGTTGGGAGGTCTGGGAGAGTGTAAGAGGGGTCCCAAGGTAGGAAATGGATGTGGAGACCAAGATTTTCTGTATAGGGAATAGGGAAATGTGTGTGTACAGGTAGAATATATCAGTGAGTGGGTTAATGTGGACTGAATTGTGAGAGAAGTAGATGAGTTATATAAATAAAAAAGAACAGGGTGAATGTAGAAAAATTAGGTTTGTAAGGAGAAATAATTCCTTACGTTATTAATGTACTACTAATATTGAATGGACAAAGTATATATGTGGGGCAAACTATGTGTAAAAACTTAGCAAATCATACAGTTACATAGTTTTAGTCTGCAAACAAGATTTTATTTTCTGCATTAGCAAGTATGATTATCTTGTCAAGTTGCTGTTATCATGTTTTATAGACACCATCCACAATGACCTTTGGAAAACAAATCCTGTGACAGAAACCCACTATCAGATAAACTCAGAGTCGCTTTTGACATGGCACCAAGCAAGAAAAAGCTGCCAGCAGCAGAATGCAGAATTATTAAGTGTCACAGACCTTCATGAAGAAATGTATTTATTAGGTAAAGTAAATAAACGACAAACAAATTAATGCCTATGGTTACAGTGTAGGTCAGCTCCAAGAGCTTTAACATGGATACTTATATTTACCTTGTGAAAATATGTCTTAGTGACATTCTTAAAAAAGCTTGCCACTTTCTCACAAAAAAATGTACCAGAACAGTGGAAAAAATCTAACCTATATTAAAAAAAAATCTACTATGACATTTTTTCTTTTCCCACGCTTTAAAATTTTATTTCAAGTTTTATTGAATAACTTACAAAATCAGAGGCATTTAATAACTTGACTGTTCATTTCTTTTGGCCATTTAGGGCTCACTAGTGACCTGGGTGTCAATGTGAAGCTCTGGACTGGTCTTTTCAGTGCACTTGACAGTGGCTGGCAGTGGATTGGGGGCAGTCCTTTCAGATACCTAAACTGGGCTCCAGGTAAGTGCACTTTTCTGAAAGAATGATCAGTGTCTTGGCCAAAATTCTCTTCTCTTCCCCAAATTCCTGTTATCCAATTCCTTTGGTTTCATAGAATTTTCACAGATTACAGGTGATTATGGGAAAGGCAGGATATTACAGTAATAGGGATCACACCAGAGATGGATTGCCATTAATTCTGAATTTCCCTGAAAAAGCAGATAGCTCATCTAAGAAAACAGTTAAAAACAAATATCTACAGCTCATTCTATATTTTTTTCCATCCACAATTTTCTCATCAGGCATATTATTCAAACCAAAGAAAAAATTTATGAAAAATTATATAAAAAGAATGTAAAGAAAAGAGAAAAAAACTTAAGTGAAACATTGCATAAAAAAAATTTTAATTGTTCTTCTCAGTTACTGCTTATGACATTTATCCGATGTACATTATCTTAGTAAGTTTCCACTCTTTTCTTATGATCTAAGTCACCAACTTGCATGTTGCCATATTGCGTATTTCCGTAATAGCTGTTGTGACTACAGGGAAATCCAAAGGGCGAGCACTCCCATGGAATTAAATATGCATTTCATGTCCAGTGTTCAACAGTAAAGGATGTTGAGTTGTTTGCAATACTACCACCCCATAAGGATTTTATATAAAAGCTTTATTTGTATAAAGTTTTTTTTCCTGTATGCTGCAGTACTTCAAACACACTGAATTTCTTCTTAAGCAGTGCATGAGAGATGAGCAAGTCTCATGTGTGAAACGTCGGCCCTCTCGGCCATCCCAGTGCTGCTTCCTCATCTTCCCCCTTGGGAATTATCACTCTAAAGAATAATATGCCTGTGGCTTTGCAGCTGCAAAAGACCTGTGCGTTCCTCCGGTGAAAATCTTCTGTGTTCACAGAGGAATTCTCTGTATGTTGTGCCTCTTTCCTAAAGGAAATCCCTCTGTGGAATCTGGAAAAATATGTGGGACCTTCCAAGGTAGGAATGGCAAATGGGAAAACCAGGTGTGTGATCGGAAACTGGGATATATCTGCCAAAAGGGAAACTCCTCCTCAGATTCCTCCACTATTGCCTCAGGTAAGTTGGTCAAAAAATAAGGCTATTTTTGCAGTGAGTGAGAAATACTGGGAGGATGCCGTATATGAAATGACAGTATATTGTCAAAACAAAAGGGTTACACTTGTTGACCTGGGTCAGACACTGAGAAGACTGTAATTTTCTGGCTCATTTTAAAGATGATGTCTAGATGTTGTTCATCATTTTGAAAAGATGTCAGGGTACTAAAGAAGACAGGATTATGTGTTTAGTCATGTTATCCAGACCACAAAATACTGATGAATATCCTGTGCTCTGAAAAATACACTATTCTGCAAAAAGATGTGAGCCAGGGTTCATGTTCCCCCTGCTCTCTCTGACCCTTTTTGCTCTATTCTGAAAGGAAAAATTCAGAATATGGTGCTGGCACCTTTTCCCAATTGAGTTCCCTTTCCACCTGTGGCAAACTAGGTCTTATCTATGTGAAGAAAATGGTATGCAGTTACTTCACTTGGGAATTCCCAGCGTGCTACTAACTCTACAGTAACTCCCTCAACTACATATATACTAGTATATAAGATTATTCTCTGGCTCAGGGGGTGAATGGCACATCATAGGTGGCATCCTGTACATTCTGGCTGCATCCAGACAGCTTACTGTGAATGGTTTCTGACCCATGCTAACCTCCAAACCATGCCTGGATGTTGCCTAGGGGAATGCAAGTTTGCACAGGTCAAAACCATGTCCAGGGAGCATCGAACAATGTGCTTGATCACAGGCCAATGTTGGGCGCACATCTTGCCCTCTTCAGTTTACTTGACAGGTGCAGACCATGTGAACCTTCAAAGCGGTGGAAGGTGGTTGGCCGTACTAAATTCACATCAAGAATTAGCCACCGAACAAAGTGTGTGGCATTTCTGTGCAGCTGGGATTTCTGACATGTCTGGTATAACATAGATGTGTCTGGGCTCTCTGATACGTGATTTAGGCTGTGCAGGAGCTCCAGCTGGCTCCCAAGCACCTGGTGTTTCCAGAGAAAAAATATACAAAATCTCCAAAATTCACCAAGATAAAGTCCCTGCATAGGAAAAGAGGCCCTATTCTGTAAAACATGGCTGTACACAGAGCCTCACTGAGGCGGATTAACACGGAGTTGTGCCCTGCAAGTTTGCATGCCAAATTACTTAGTATTTATTTAATCTTGTAAAAGAGTTTTCCGGTAGCTCCCAGCAAAATTGGGATGGAAAAGTCTGTTTTGTATTCTTTGTGATCCTCAGACTTTTGCTTCTCTCCTCTGCCAGTATGTGCTCCAATATTTCAAATTCATGTCAGTACAGGTAATTTTCTTTTTGATTAAAACAAAGCACTGAACAGGACTGCTCATTAATTGTTTGAAATATTTTTTTTTAGGTGACTTAAAGCCTTTTAAGTGCCCCAGGGAATGGGTGGCCTATGCAGGTCATTGCTATAGAATTTACAGAACACCCAAAATATTTTTAGGTGACTTAAAGCCTTTTAAGTGCCCCAGGGAATGGGTGGCCTATGCAGGCAGTTGCTATAGAATTTACAGAACACCCAAAATATGGAAAGAAGCCCAGTCTTCCTGTAGAAAAGAAGATGGAGAGCTGGCGAGTATTCATAATATTGAGGAGTACAGTTTTACAGTGTCTCAGCTTGGGTACAGTGAGTATTCCTGCAGGTCACCTTTTTATCTGGAATTATACTGTTGCTATTATTAATTTAATCATTGTAACCATGATCTTAAATGTTTTTTAAAAAGTCCTTCTTCAGTCAAAAGTGGGTGTGAGATGTGATTGTTCCATTTTAAGACATACCCGTACCTACACTTATCTTTGTGTTCCCAGAGCCAGATGATGAGCTGTGGATTGGTCTAAATGACTTCAGGGTTCAAATGTATTTTGAATGGAGTGATGGGACACCTGTGACTTATACCAAGTGGCATCAGAGAGAGCCAACCCACACACAGAATAAGGCAGATTGCATCGTTATGAAGGGAGAGGTAAAAATCACTCTCTCACTTTCATACTTTCTTATGTCCTTTGTGCCCCCCAAAAGGAAAATATGTGACAAAAAATGAAAAAAAGAGAAAAGGGACAGGGGTTTTAAAAGTTTTTATGAACTTGGTTTTAATTCAGAATATCTTAGTGTGGAGGGAGACTGGAGACCAGATCTAGGAAGGTGTATGGTAGAGCACCAGAAGCAGTGCACTGCGCTGAGACTTGGTCTGCTCTGTAACAGTTACAACAAATCTCCTGCCTGAAACTGGTTGAAGTAACACATCATCCACATTCAACATGACTGATCATAGCTGCACAGTGCGATTCTTAGAGCAAGGACTTTCTTACGTTTCCCCTAAAATGCCTAAAATATGCATTTATTACAGCTACTTTGGAGGCTCATATTACTGGAGGCACAAAAAATTAGGTACAAAAAATTCTATCTTGTTTTATACTCAGCATAAAATGACATATCATAACACTATAGAAAAAGACTTACATTTTTCATATTTTATGTTTAGTTTATCCAGCATTTCCTTGCTATTGTCATCTGGTTATATGAACATAATAAATACTGCTCTGGTAAGAATAGAGTAGAACAGCATGTTTCCTTCTTGCTCTCGTCAGCCACTGAACCTTTAATACATGCAACCCTCATTCTCACACCTCTGAGGAAATGTGGTCCTCACTGTCTTTATTGTGTTTTCTGTTTGGGAGTTTTGGAGAAAGCATCAGGGCAAGGAAGAGAGCTGAAACAGCCTCAGCCGTACGAAGGGAGAAGGGTTCTCTCTGAGGATGGTGAATATTCCTGCTGGATCTGGATTTTCTCTAGATTTCACTTCTCTCTGTCGTTTCTTCTTGCCACGCTCAGGATGGATCCTGGGCTGACAGTGCTTGTGAAACGAAACTCGGTTACGTCTGTAAAAGGAAACCTTTGGCAGAAGAACCAGGGGAAGCTGAGGTTACTTACCCAGGCTGCCAGAAAGTAAGTGTAAAACAAAAGCAGCGAAAGGTCGTTGCGTCTTACTTTCACTCCCATGATGGTATCACAGAAGCCAATTATTTCGACTGTTCTTGGTGGAGCCCTGGAAAACTGTTAATTCATATGTACGGATACTTCTCAGACTAACAGGGACTTTTTTATTTATTTAACCAAAATGTAGATCGACTTTTTTTTCCCCTCCCTTACATGTGCACTTCACTCAGCTCTCTCCTAGTGCAGAACTAGACACTTCATCCATAAAAGCCGTTCTCTGCAGAGGACGTCAGTATTTTTTCATACTGTAACTCCCTGGTCTTGGGTTGCACGCAGCCTTCTCAGTCCAATCAATCCGCCACAGGAGACAGGAATATTTAAGCTGACTGTTTTGCAGATTGTTTGTAGCCTCTTGCAACAGCTACACTTACACAATGAGAAGGCAGAGCAGGCTTTACACAAGGAGCTGCAAAGTGGCTGCGAGCATGCTTGCCAGCTCCAAGTCATAAGCACGGCTCACTGCTCGCAAAGGCCCTTGCGTGTCCTTTATCAAGGGGCAAGACACAGAGTTGTGGTTACAAAAGCTATGTTTGATTATCCTCTTTGTTTCTTCTCATGGCTTCTGAAATTAATTTTGACTTGGGGTGCGGTATTAATGTGTCTTTTGGAAGTGTACTGTGCTGCACAATCTGACAGCCCCTCCGTGCATCTCTGCTGTTGACACTGACAGGGCTGGATGAAGCACGGCTTTTACTGCTATTCTGTGGGGCAGTTACCAGCAACATTTGCAGAAGCAAGACAAATCTGTGAGGAAAACAAAGGTTACCTGGCTACTGTGACAGACAGGTATGGAAACATAATTCTTGTCCTTTTGTATGTGCAACCAGGATGGAAGGGCCAAACAGAAATCTCTTCCTACTTTGCAGCTTTTCATAGTGTCTCATGTGACACGACTCCTTTGCTGGAGAATTTATGGAGGAACTGAAGAAGTATTACAAAATACATCAGGGGCTTGTATGTCATCAATACAAACATTTAAGCCATTGCTACTACAAACCTACACTATTGTTGGCCCCAGTAATTATTAAAAAATTGAGTCAGCCCTCCAACAGCTCTGAATTGCCAGATTGTTTTAAAACTTATTGAACTAAAAATAAACAGATAAACATGGAACTATTTATTTCTTCTGGATTTGAGTTTTCAGCCTTTTCTTTGCAACAGGCAGATCTGGAAACTTACCCTTTTTAGAATAAAAGTAGATTTTTTTTCCCCAGAGTAACAAGATTTAAGGATCTAGACCTTATCATAAAGCTCAGTAAAACACTGTAGCACTTATTTATACAGAATGAATATAATATATGTATTAACACAAATATTGTTTGGCTTGTGTTGTTCTTTGTGCAGTACAAAAGGAGAATAGAATCACTCTAAATTCTAAACATGATTTACATTACCAAAATATAAAATAAAAATTTATATGACAATTAGAACTCTAAAAGTAAGATCATTACCCTTTCTTCAATCCATACTTATCTTTTCCTACATCCCCTTTACCAGATTTGCTACAATGAACTTTTTGAAGAAATGAACAAATTACAATAAAATATGATACATCAGTTTGGTACTTATTCTTCACAGATATGAACAAGCTTTTTTGACTTCTGTAATTGGATTCAATCCAGCAAAGTATTTCTGGATTGGTCTCTCAGATGCAGAGGAGCAGGGGACATTCAGGTGGGCCAGCGGGGACCCGGTCACCTTCACTCACTGGAATGCGGGAGTGCCTGGTATGTGCCACAGGGGCCACCGAGTTTCTGCTCTGGGGGCCTGAGAAGTGAGGGTTTGGAAGCTAAATAGTGGTTTTGAAACTCTGCTGGCAGGAAATGGCAAAAACGACATTGCAACTTTCCGTTTGTGCTAAAAGGATTAAATCAGAGATCATGGTAGCTCCTTCCAGTAGGCCACCTGGGACTGCATGTGTCTGTTGGTATCATTCACTATTTGTTTGATGGTTTTGATAGGTGATTCATAGTGTAATGTAAAAAGAATTTGATAAAATTTATTTATGACTTAATTGAAATGCATGTGAGCTCCTGTGAGCTATTGGCGTCCAAACACAGTGGGGACAGGTTACATTTAATTAAGTAGCATATGCTTTGAGAAGATGCAGCTATGTATCTATAAGGTTTAAAAATCTTATGTTTCATGAAGGAAGAGAGTCAGGCTGCGTGGCCATGGTAACAGGAACTTCAGCTGGATTATGGGATATTTTGAACTGTGAAGAAACAAACATGTTTCTCTGCAAGCAGCTGGTGGAGGGAGTGACCCCACCTCCTCCTCCGACGACCCCTCTCCCGTCGTGCCCAGAGGGATGGCAATCCATTCCTCAGAGCAGCTCCTGTTTCAAAGTAGGTGTTTGACTTCTGAATGCAAATGCTTGTCATTTCAAATGGGAGTATGTTTTGCGTGCGCATGGAAGGTGGGTTTCACCCTGCCTACTTGATAGGTAGTCTGTAGTAACACGTCTCCAGCCATCCCCAGCTGGTGTGTCGGGGAAGTGCTGGAAAGTGCAGTATGTAGGTTGAACTGAAGTTTGGAGTCACAGGGACTCTGACATGATAGGAAGAGCAAAGTTGCAATAATAAAATTTGATAGATGACCACAGACTTATGGTTGCACAATTAGATAGCGATAAAACTAGACACCAGGAGACCAGAGGAAAGATAGAAGCCCAGAATGCTGTTTCTAAATTTCAGAAATACCCAGCACAGTATTTAATTGTCCACTTTTTATAGATTTTTCAGGGAGGAAGGGAGAAAATGCAAACGTGGTTTGGTGCAAGAGATTTTTGCAGAGCCATCGGAGGAGACCTGGCATGTATCCACAGTGAAGAAGAACAAAACCTAATAGCTGGCTTGTAAGTATCCGCACAGTCCATCGTTTGTAAAAAAAAAAACATTTAAAAAATGACCTTTCTGAAAGACATAAAGGATTTCTGATGATCAATTTCTACTTTGCAAAGATGGTGTATATCCTTGCAAGGTGGCAGAAGGAAATGGGTAGAAAGAGGTGAGCAAAAGGGTTTCTCGGCAGGCCTCTGGGAAGGTGGTGCTATGCATTGAAGTAGCCTGAACACAAACAAAAATGAAAGAAGGATCATCAAAATTGGTTTCAACTGCGTTTAGTTCAAAGGGATAAACCCGATCTTTTTAGCTCTTTTTAGCTGCTAATAGCTGTTGTAAGTATCCGCACAGTCCATCGTTTGTAAAAAAAAAAAACATTTAAAAAATGACCTTTCTGAAAGACATAAAGGATTTCTGATGATCAATTTCTACTTTGCAAAGATGGTGTATATCCTTGCAAGGTGGCAGAAGGAAATGGGTAGAAAGAGGTGAGCAAAAGGGTTTCTCGGCAGGCCTCTGGGAAGGTGGTGCTATGCATTGAAGTAGCCTGAACACAAACAAAAATGAAAGAAGGATCATCAAAATTGGTTTCATCTGAAAGACATAAAGGATTTCTGATGATCAATTTCTACTTTGCAAAGATGGTGTATATCCTTGCAAGGTGGCAGAAGGAAATGGGTAGAAAGAGGTGAGCAAAAGGGTTTCTCGGCAGGCCTCTGGGAAGGTGGTGCTATGCATTGAAGTAGCCTGAACACAAACAAAAATGAAAGAAGGATCATCAAAATTGGTTTCAACTGCGTTTAGTTCAAAGGGATAAACCCGATCTTTTTAGCTCTTTTTAGCTGATCAGTAGATGAAGTACTCTTGATTAAAGGAATTGTTTGTGCTGCTTTCTTTCCTTAGTTAAGGGGAAAAAATGGGAGCCTGAGGAAAGCCTGACCTATTTATGTGCCTATATAAATGTTTAAATCAAGCCTATGAGCACAGAAAGGCCTGAATTTGGATGCCTCAGCTACTTGGTCAAACCAAGACCTTAAAATATATTTTCGTTTAACTCAGTATTTGTGGACTCATGACATCTGTGATCCTTCCCATGAAGCTCTGTGTTTCACTGCTTCCTGCCACATGCAGTGCCAGGGTGTTTTTCCCCACATGGCAATTGAATGATTACTGTATATGACTGTCTCAAATGATACTTCAAGCATCAAAACACTAACAACAATGTAATTATATATATTCTCCTTCTCTATTTCACACCATGTCTGATTGTCTATATTTGTAATCATTCAGAAATAGAGATTATCTTCAGTTATCTTACTGGATGGGTTTAAGTGCCTTGGACTCCAACAGCGGATTTATATGGAGTGATGGCTCACCAGTGAGTAAATAATATATTGTTCTAGCTTTTTGTCTAATTTTCCATGTATATCTTGGCAGACAGCTCTCAATACTCGTCCTATACAAGCCACAAGTGACCTTAAGTCTTTACTACCCGATTCCACTCTAGGAATTAGTTTTTATCTTTTGATAGTTCATAGTTATAGATAACAGTATGACATTTAGAGTAAAGAAAGAACATGAAAGGTGATGGAATATCTCTCTTGATCTAAGCAAATCTGGTTGTACTAATCTCTATATTCCCATTTGTCATTTACTGTTAGAAATAACTTTGTATGTCTACACAAGCTAGGCTTTGTTGCCCTCGCCGCTTTAAGTAGATCAAGGCCTAAGTCCATATGGCACCACTGATGGATTGTCTCAGGTTGAAATATCAGAGCAGGATAACCGTCCCAGGGGTCAGAGGAAGGTACTTAGATACTTCTTTCTACAGCTTGACAGGAGAACTTAATCTCTCCTGATAAGAAGGGCAACAACTTCTTCGCTTCCTAACATGGCTTACAAATACACAGACGAATCATTATGCTATGCAAGGGTCATGTCCTTCTCCTTACAAGGTCTGGCACCAAAGCACAAGATGGACCATGAGATCAAATGAAGTACATTCTTCTGTAACAGGATGCTATAAGACAATTGTTTCACTTTAAAAGGAAATAGTAACAAAGCTGTGTGTCTGCTCTAGGTAAATTTTGAAAAATGGGCAAATGGAGAACCAAACAATTATGATGGAAATGAAAAATGTGGCGTGTTTAATGGCTACAGTGATATGAGCTGGAATGATTTATTTTGTGAACATATGCAGGACTATGTCTGCCAAATAAAAAAAGGTAGGATGAATTTCTTCCTTGAGCAACTTTTAGAGACAGATAAGAATATCCTTTCCAGGTCAGATCACACTATCTGCATGTATTAGAGCCAGCTGTGCCGTCAAGCACAGTGAAACACTTAATACATTTTAATTTAAATAAAAGCAGTTGAAAACTATGAATTTATCCATGAGACACACATGTAAGTTTGGGATGTATATGCAGCATGTTGTCTAAGTGAAATCCAGCAGCCTAAAGTTGCACATAGTTTCTGTAAGCTTAACTTGTGATCAGCTTTAACATGGTATTTTGCTGAGTGTAACACCTTTTTTTTCAGATATTCTGATAAATTCTGTGACAAAAATGAGCATACTGAGTAACCCTTAAGATTCATTTTATTCCTTGGAATTAAAATGCTAACAACTATATAAATTTATTTAACTGAGAGATGTCTGAGAAACGTAATATACTCAGATATTGATTTACATTGCAGGAACACCACTGAAACCAGAGCCTACTTCCACATTCAGTAAGTCTTGCCCTTCCAATAACAGGAATAAATTAACATATAATGATGTTAATTTCTATTACAGACTGCTTAATGTTTTACCTTGCAGATTATGAATATGTTGTTAGTGAAGATGACTGGATAATATATAATCACAAGGAATACTACTTCAGCAAGGAACCAATGCCTATGGAAAAAGCCAGGGACTTTTGCAAGAAGAATGGTGGTGATCTTGCTGTCATTGAGAGTGAAAGTGAAAAAAATTTTCTTTGGAAATATGTAAGAAACATGTTTTACTTCAAAAATGCACCATTCTGTCCTGCACTGAGGCACCTTTTTCAGCTGGCTTGTGAAATATTAGAAAGTGGTCTCCACCATAAAAAAAAAATCAGTGCCACCTTTCATGGGCTTATCTACCTAGGAGCTTTACCATAATAATTATTTTGATAAATTGCTACATGTAGACAAATCCTCAGCTTCTTTTCAAGAACACTCTCGGGGTGCAACTTTCAAAAACCTTGCTCTGTTTAGCTGAAAGCTACAGTTACTGAGTATGTTTTGTTTTCCAACTCATTCTTTTCACAGAATTCAAGAAAAGATTTTGCCCTTTTTTGTCAAAACAGATTTCAGATTTTCAGTAAAAGGTTTAAGCCAGAATATTTTCTGATAGGAAGAGAATAACCCGATGATGATATACTCTTTTGGGAATAGTTTCATACTATTAAAAACAAATCTGATTCCATCCTTTCCTGCACATGACTAAGTACTAAACCCCACCATTTACTTGTAGCCTTTTGGCAAATTCTCACTGTGCTTTCCTAAAACTCTTAAAAATATTGCTTTATTTTATAGCCTGCTTAAGAGGCCATTCTTATCTTCTTAACATAGCTTTTTGCTCCATTTCCTTTTTCATCCCAGTCTGCTTTTTTTTTTTTTTTAAATTTAAATGCACGTTGCATACTATGCAATTGTACAACTGAAACTAAAGCGGTTTTTGTGAGCTTGCTTATTTTATTTGAAATCTGGTTTTTTACAGCTCATTAAAATTCTTATTTTTTGTGTTTTAGACTTTCTATAAAGACTGGGGAATTAACTTTTATATTGGCTTAAGCGTGAGCCTTGACAAGACATTCCGGTAAGTAAAAACAAATTAAGTTTGTCAGACTCATAATATGAATATTTGGCACGGCTGTCTGTAAGAGACTGTTGAAGTTCAATGACTGATAAAACCTGTCTACAGCCATGTCTTGACATAAAGTTTTAAAATACGATTCTGCTCCTCAGGGGAGCACTTCTTCCATAATATTTGCACTATCCATTTCCCCTTCTTTTGGTTCTATACTCTGCTTTTGTATTGTAAGGCTGAGATGTTCACTCACAGTCAGTGCAGTGTCATCCCCTTTTCCTTGTTCGATGAAAGATAAAATTGGTTGGAGGTCTCTAGGATGTTCCAGATAGTACTTGCAGACTTTATGAATATTCAAATGATCAAAGAAGAAGAACCCACAAAACCTGCAGTGAGAGGCATCATGGTGGTTTTTAGAGGTGAAATATCAATACTGGAGACCCCTTGTCTGGAAGATAATTTCCAGATGGTTGTACTGTCAGAGCCCAGGGCAGGACAGCTTCATGGAGTCATTACTCTTCTAGAAATGTCTTCAGAAACAAAGTGCCCAGGGAATGTCCTAAAACCTTTTCTGGAGCCTTAGATGAGTTACAGATATATTTCCCAAGTGGCACTCTTCTCCCCTCCCCTCCTCAGCCCCAGCCCCTCGCCCCCGCCTCTTTTTCTAGTGCCTTCAACTGGGATTTGAAGCTTGGTCAGATGAGTCTCAGCCTCTTAATTTCAGTCTTTCTTCTGTTGCCTCAGGATATCTTTCTTGGCCACAAGCCACAGAGGCTGGATAGTCTCATCTCCAGGAGCTCCTGCTTTCTACATCACATCCACTGCTCAGAAAACACTGTTGTTTGTCCAGTTCTCCCTTGCTCCTTCACTAATTTCATCCTCCTCCCTGTTGGATGATGGTGCCACTATTTGTCTTTATTCTTTATTCTTTATTGTTCCCGGTTTATTATGTACTGTTGTTTTCCTATTTGGCTCAGGAAGATTTGCAAGTGGGAGCAGCTAGGCATCCTTGTTGAATTCCTTATTTGTAGTTTACTTGCAAAAACACACATACAGTTGCTTAGTCTCCAAAACACTAAATTGCCCTGGAGCTGATGTTGCCTGAAGGCTCTCAGTCTTGGCAGATTCCCCACTTGACTCTTGTCCTTCCAGCACACTAAGGCTTTTCCACGTTTTTCTTGGCTACTTTTTGAGAATAAATTTGTGAATCACCAAACTAGGAAATGATTGTTGCACAACTGAAAGTAATAGCTGTATAATATTAAAGATTTCCTTTGTTTAACAAAATGGTTCCCAGTGGTCCCCAGTAGGTGGTTCACGTCTCTCCCTTACCTTACGAGATCTTATATTATTGCTTTTGGACCCAGGGAATTACTAAACTAGGCTAAGATTTCTGTTTCTGTGCTCCAGGGAAAGCCAGGTCCAGTGCTACACTGGTGTGTTTACTGTAGGCTATCAATGCTCAGAGACCAAGAAAGGCTGGGATCACCAGTTGACATGATCAGTTCAGACCTGGTCCAGGTCAACAGAGTAGGCAGTTGACATAAAGACATTTATTTACTAATTCCAAGTGGAAGGTCTTGCTTTTCTTTTACCAGAGAACAGCATGTGTTTGTAAGCTAGGATATAGGAAACTCTAATACGTCCTTTACAAAGAAATATTAACTAATTCAACTGCAAATTATTATTCCCCCAAATGACTTCTTTCAGATGGATGGATGGAACTCCAGTGAACTATGTTGCCTGGGCTCCAAATGAACCCAATTTTGCAAATAATGATGAAAACTGTGTGGTCATGTATACCCAAACAGGTGGGTGCTGTAACAATATTCAGTCTGCACAGTGTGGCATAGGCTTGGGAGGGCTGTGTGTGCAAGGGTGGGTAAGTTATAATACTGAGCAGGCTGATGTTTGATAGAGTGTTTAAAAAGCATAGGAAAATAAATCATGTTGTCTTCTTCCATTTATGCACTTTTAAAAAGTTCAACTCTATGTAGTTAACACATTGGATTACATCTGCAATTTGATTCCTAGCTTTGTCAGAAAATTTCAACGTGAACAAATCAGCTAAGTATCAGACCATCTGCAGATAGAGTCAGTATTGTTTTTCCTCTAATCTCTGTCCATTTTCTGGCTACCTCTTGAGGATATCAGCTGTCTGTTATCGCTTGTGCAGTTCCTAAAAATCTAGGGCTTGGGCATGGCTTTGGTTATTACTAAACAATGTTATACAGTATTTTAAATAAAATAAATACAAATGTCCTTCAATACAGAGAGTTGGAAATAACTTCAATACAGAGAATTGGAAGTAACCATGCTTACACTAGCCAAGCACTTAGTCTCCTTTGGAGCAGTTTAAAGTCTTCTACTTTAAACATTTTTAGTCTCAAAATCTATAGCTGAGGTAATCTTCCTAGGCTCTGTTAGAGGTCAATGGAAGGAAGTGAACACTTTTGGGGAGTAAATACTATGTCCTGTTTTGGAGATCTTCTTTAAGATAAGATGAATTACATTCTTAACTTCACTGAATTATAATGACAATATCTCCATTAAATGTAAGGTGTGATTCTCTCTGCTGTAGATAGTTACCTTGTAACTGTCTGCAGCTAATGAAATGAATGCCATTTTCTTATTCATTCCTGATCTGTAAAATAGGGATGGTGATGTTAATGTTATATTCTTACATCACACTATAGGGAGAAAAGATACCCAGAAGACTGTAAGACTGAGGCAGTAAGGTAACAAGGACCAAGTACCTTATATAGACAGAGTGATCCTAGAGATCTTACAGATCTTAGAGAGGTGAATTAAGCATTTGAACTAAAACTCCCCTTTGTCAATGCTGTGGGTTTTCAATATTGAAATATTTCTGTTCTCAGACAAAATATTCGTATTCTGAATTTTGCTGGAAACCTGAATATTTCTAAGGAACATACATAAAAAATACTCATTATTTCTGGGGGGATAAATACAAATACGGTTATCAGTTCTACTTCCTGCGATAGTTTTGTTTAGGAAAGGACACTTTTTATCCCAGTGTCAGTTGCATTTAGTTTTTCTTTTATTCTAATTTGCTTTCAGGTACATGGAATGATCTCAACTGTGGCAACGTTGAGTTATTCATATGTGAAAGACTTAACAATACTGTTCGTCCACCTGTTGCTCCCACTTCACCACCACCAAAGGGCGGGTGTCCACAAGACTGGCTCCTCTTTGATAACAAGGTGCAGTATGAAATGTCAGTATATTGTATTTTAAGAAGAGCAGAATAACAACCATCTTTGGTTCAATTTTTCAGTTGTAGCAGGGTTTTTGGTTGTCACAAAATATGTTCTGATTGTATATATTTAAAGACTCTAAAAATACGATTCCTGAAATAGAAATTATACCCTCTATTGTGATGACAGCAGTTATGACAGAGGTCATGAGACATACAAGAAGAAAGCTGCGTCTTATATTTTTGCTAGTGTTAAGTGTTGCCAAGGATGGCTGAGCAACTTTCCTTGTGTGGAGCTGTTGTATGTTCTTATTTACTGTGTTGAGCTTATCTGGCTGTCACAGGTTGCCTGGACACTTAATTCGTCCCTTCCCTACTATGCACCAGCTCTTAAGCCACTAAGGCACCTTCCCTTGAGCAAATTTATCCTTTTTTTTGTATAACCAAATACTTGTTAAGGTTTTTAAGTAATTAAATTATAAGCTTCACCACACTTTATTATGTAGGTTCACTCAGCCTTCTCAAAAGACAAAATTTCAGGGTAAGAGAGTGTATGTGTTTAAAATCCATAGATTGTCATCAATGAAGCTATAAAAGCTATAAACCAACAGTGTACACTGTTGAGAATACACTGAGCAATGAAGATAATCCTTGATTACATTGCCTTGTCAAGCTCCATCTCTCTTTCTTTTGGCTAAGCCAAAATATGATTTCAGTTTGGCAGAGCTCCTTTGTTTAAGGCACACTGGCTGCTGTCTCCTCTTTCCTTCCCTCTCTCAGCCCTGGGGAAAAGAATCACAAACTCAGTTTGTTCAATTTCATAGTGCTCTTTCAAGCTAAAATGTCTCTCTCTTCCTCACCTCCTGGAAAGGGAGTTTCCAGAGGTTCCATCCTTGACTCCTCTCCGAGTGTTTAGACACCACTTCTGACTGTCATGGAGCTACCTTCTTTTTGCCCAACTTTTTCCCCAAATTGCCTGATTAACTTTTCAGCTGCATGCTTTAATGAGCACATTTAGGTTGCTTGACTCTGGCAAAGCTGTCTAATGACGTCTTGGTTAAATCTCATAGATCATATTACAAGAAATGGTAAATTCATGGTTTTCTTTGTAATGTCAGTATCATTCTCTTTCTGTGATTATCCTGTGAGAACCAAGCCTGGTATGAGAAACAGGGCAACAGAAGCTGAGACGTTTAGCTTCAAAAACATGTCTTATCCTTGTTTGTTTTCTGAGGTCTTCTTAGGCATTCCTCCCACAAAGTCACACCTCAGAAGTGTGCTCAGAAGCTTTAACATAATTTCTACTGAAATAATTAGACTGACATATTCCTTCTTCTAAGTGTATGCTAAAATATTCGGGTTTATCCTAGTTTTCTAGTATAGATCTTCTCTTTCATAAAGACAAGCTAGAAAGCACTGTTAAATCAGCTAATCTCCCTTTTTGCTTAAAATATCCAGCTTATCTTGTTTTTTACAAACAGAGATGCTTTCACTGGAAATAAAAACACCGTCCAGTTACTGATTTGGCACACTTCTCTTTTTCAGTGTTTCAAAGTATTTGGCCTTGATGAAAATGATACATTGACATGGCATGCTGCGCGGAACAATTGTATTAGTTTTGGAGGAAACCTGGCTACTATATCAAAAAAGGAAATGCAAGGTATAAAGTACTAATGTTTTGACACTGGATGAGACATCAAGTAATTCCTGATAAGCAGATTAAAACAAATGTTATAGCTTCTGCAATATATGCTATTATTTATACCATATTAATATCAAGTTATGTTGAATGAGAAATTGCACCTTTTGAGAAATGCTTGCATAGGTTTAGTGTCTTGATTAACTTTTAAAATCATAGCTCTGGGGCTAATATAGGACATGCAAAGGAATTCATACTGTTCAAATATTAAGATTTTGTATTAGGGGCTTGTCATATAATAAAAAGTCCATATTTTGAGTTTTTTAAGTGTACATGTAAAGAAAGCACACAAAGGGAGTAACATCCAAAACAAATCACCGTGCACCTAGCTGCTGAGCCAAATGCTGTGGGTGTCAGTGGAGGATGCATCTTCAGGCAGCAGAAGGCTCCAATGCTGGAGTCCCAACTTCCCCCTGTTCCCCTTGCCCTGCTGGACCTCAGCCTGCTGGTCTTGCTGCTCAGCATGTTGCAGGTTTTTTAGTGAGGCCTTATGTTTGCTCAGGAAATGTAATGGTCCTGAGGGTTGCACACGGGCCATCTCCTAGCTCACTCCATCAGTGCTTGTGGTTTATGCTTTTTTCTATAGCAGAGCGAGGACAGTCGAAGGACAGTCTTTTAGTGGAAAGTCAAGTCTAGGCAGGAGCTAAGGGAAACAGCATCTGGCCTTCCAAAAAGCTGAGGTCTCAGTATATATATATACTTGGTTAATAAGTAGTTTTATTTGTGTTATGCCTATTTAGAAACCAAGTTATTAAGTGTGGTTAACAAAGAAGTTACCAAAGAAGAAAATGGAGTGCACAGTCTGCAGACTCATTTTCTATGTGCCAAGGTCTAGAGTACTCATGTTAATTTCTGTAATACCATTAACGCATTTTCCCTGCTTCCTCAGATGATCAACAAGACAGAAGAGTGTACACATAAATTCCTTAAAAAATGTTGAAAACAATTTTATGTATCAAAATTTGCCCATCTTTGAGTTTGTAAATACTTTTTCAGACTTTAACATCACATGACTATCTGTTCTTTTTATTTTTATCATAAGATTACCACCTTATTAAAAAAGAGAAAAACAAACCCCATCATCTTGATTCCAGGCACTCTAGAGTCTGCACTGTTGGGGAAAGCTGCATTCAGTTTCCCTCCTTGTACAATTTTTCTTTTTTTCAGCTTTCCTCATGTCCCTCTTAAAAAACGCTGCAACTGATGCTTGGATTGGACTGAATGACATAAATCAGGAGCACACATACTTATGGACAGATGGAAGCCCAGTTTACTACACAAATTGGGCGAAAGGTTCCCGAAGTTATCATAGTAAGGTAAACATTAATTTCTGGTTATCACTCAAACTTTATAACTTTGGTAGATGAATGTACGTAGCTACAACTGTATTTTCTGTAGAGTTTCCTTTATGAAGATTTTTAGTGATCTTGTTGCTTTTGAAAGCAGAATAATCATGTGGGAGATCTACCTTCACACATTTTTTTCAACATCTGTGTTTTGTCATGATTATTTTGTTATGAACCCAGACAGACGTTTGGAAACATTATGCAAAACTCAGACAAGTGAGCATTTCCCTCACTTTACCATGACTGACCAGGAGACTCAAATAAACCATAGCATAGCAGTAACTGTATAATTTTGGGATACAGTGAATGTTATTTAGACTTGATGAAAATACTCAGATAACTGTGTATATTTACATTTCTTGGCACTGAGCTTATTGAGATAAATGTGTTGAACAAAATCCTCAAAAGAAGGAGAGTCTGGATCTTCCTTTCTCATTTTTATCTTCTCCCTCTGTATCTTCTATCAAATCTTCCTTCTGAAAGATCTCTTCTGCATGCTTTGAAACTTTCAGCACTGCTATACCATTTTGTGTTTATTTGCAAGCCAAAACTGAGTGTTATTCAATAATTGTAAAATGGCTAATGTAGAATACTGTACTTGATAGTACTACTTTTGTACTCCTGTGCTAGCTTTACCAAGTTTCTCTCTTTTTCATAACAGAATTGCTTTGAGTCCAGCTAAAAAGGGAAAAAGTTATGTGAGGTCTGACCTCTGCTGCCATCCAGGCTAGAGCTGGGTTTTGGGATCTCCAGGACTTCCCCATCTCACACATGCGTATGCTTTCTGCAGAAGGTTATGCCCATTTCTCTATACAAGTTGCTCCACATACACCTTCCTTCACTTGTGGCCAAGACCTGGGCTGCTGCCCCTGAGGGGGTTCGGAGGTAGCATGAGGTTAGGCTGATATGAGGTGGGGAGAGCTGCTGCCTCCTGCTGCAGAAAGCCAAGCAGCAGCTTCTCATGCTGTGGGAGGAAAAGGAGGAAGGTAAAGAGCCCAAATTGCAGTGGAAAGAGTTTGGGATGTGTCCCCCACAAAAAGTTGTTTCTGATCGCTACCTCTACGTTACTGCACTGTGGTGACAGCTTTGGATCCTAGTGCTGGATCAGAGCAGGAAGAGGATTTCGGCTCTCCAGGCAAGCTTCAGTGCTGAGGAGAGTTTCCCCATAACCTCCAGAAAAACAGCAACAGAGCTGAAATGTCCCATGGGCCAGACCTAGCACACGCATGTCCACCTGCAGACACACACACCACTCACACATGTGCATGCACAGAGATTATATTCATACAGATAGTCCCAGACGCTTCTTCCTGCCTCTGTGCTGTGCTTTGCAACTCTCTCCATCATCCAAGTACAAACTTTCCTAGGGCTGAGTTGTAAATGCTTATTGTCATGTTACTGCTCCTGACCATTGCTTATGAGTTCATATATATGACCTTCATATTATTCATCTGTGTGTGCCTGTGTGTGATAGGTGAGTCTGTATACCCGGCAGGAGTAGGAATGTTTCCCGTCAATACGCATGTTTTTCTTGTTAATCTCATTTCCCCTGTAGGATCAATGTGTCTTTATGATGAAGAACCCTATTGAACAGTCAGGGAAATGGAAAGATGAAGAATGTAAAACAAGCAAAAGCTACATATGCCAGAAAAATTCTGGTGAGTTTTCTTTCACCGCTTTCTAGTACAGCTGATTTATTGTGGTTATGTCAAACCAGTGTTAAAAGTGACTTTCCCGTATTCAACCCGATTTTAACTGAAGTTAATCTGACGGTATCACATGCACTACAGACCATTTTAACAAAATGAGCACACATTTTATTTTTCGGAGAAAAACTCTTAACCTTTCCTATTTTAAGGACTAGACCAGTAAATAAAAAGGAATAAAAAAATCTATGGATCATCATGTATTTTACTATTTTTGGTGATCAGGTGGGAGAGAAAGAGAACAGTACTTTGTCTTTATATGGGTACACTCTTCAAAACTGAAATTCTACTGTTGTACTTAAAAGCACTGCAACTTCTTTATTTTGAAAAACTGCCCTGCTTCATTTTCTTTACAGTCTTACTCAGGCAATTTCATCAGCAGCAGTTATATCCCTCTGCTTGCTCATGGTGTGCTTACCGTACTCTCTTCCTTGTCAGAAATACAACAGATGTTGATATATCATGGAAAAAGGGGAGGACTTGTTCCCTTTAATGCGCTACATTGTTACAGTATGCTTTGGGAAGGTCTAGGGTTTACAAGGCATGTTCCTGGAGGTGATACAGATATTTATGCTAAAAGGTCATTCTGACAAGAATTGGAAAATTTTGTCACAGAACATGAAAACATGGCTTTCATCACTGCAGTGATAGTTGGGACACATCTTAATTTGTTATTCCAGCCTCTCTTAATTACTTAACTACTCCAGCACACTAGATCTTCTCTCAGTGTTATATGTCTAGCCAATATAAAGCATTTGACTTTTTTTTTGTTTGTTTGCTCGTTACAGACCCCAAACTGCAAAAATTCCAACCCGTAGTTCCAATGTTTGGCTTTAACAATTATGGTGATGACCGCTATGCAGTCATCAACTACAAAATGAGCTGGGAAGAAGCACAGAAGAACTGCAGAGACCAGTCTGCAGATCTCGCCAGCATTTTGGATCCTTATGCTGAATCTCACCTGTGGTTACAAATATTAAAGCATGGGGAGCCTGTATGGATTGGTCTTAACAGCAACACCGTGAGTCCATCAAATGCTTGTGACAATCATACCGCTACCCTAGATCAGCATAGATCAGCCATATTTCTTGCTCAGAGGTTGACAGGATCCACTGCTGTGGGTGCTGTTTGCCCCCATGTGAGTGCTATCGGTCAGATCCATGAATGTGTGGCAGGCATCAAAACCTTGTTGAGGTACCTGACTTTCCTCCACTTCAGGGGTTTTACACATCTGAATGTTTGGCCATAATGTGAGAACTGCCACGCCTGCATTTCAAAGGCCACCAAGGATGTAGCTGCAGTAGACAGTGGCTTCAGAGGTAAAAGTGGCTATGGAGTTTCCACTTCCTATGCTGTGGTCTACCACACGCTTATGTGGGGGAACATTGCCATTTCTGAAGACACATTGTGGAGCATACCATGGAAACATTTTGGGTTAAAACCAGTTCTTTCTTCGTAAGGTTTTTTTAAGTTTTGTTTTAATTCACAGCCTAGCACTACAAGAGCTTGTGCTGGGCAACAGGGGAAATGGCAAGGTGCAGTTAGAGGCAGGAGCAGGCCTCTGGCAATGGGGACACCTTAGGCTGGTTTTTGGAGCTGAAGCCAGTGCCTTGTGAAAAACTGCCAACACGCTAGGTCAGCAAAGAGTGGAAAGGTCTGAAAGGGGAAGCATCTACTAGAGGCATGTAAAAAGAACATGAAAAAAGATGTAGTTGGATATTTGTGGACGAGGAGTTGTGAGGAAATCAAGAGGAGAGAGGTAGAGCTGGAGCTTGGTGGGACACAGGACTGAGAAGGGCACAGGTGCTGAGGTGAGAGAAACCAGAGTCGCACTTCAGTGAGAGCAGGCACTGGAAAACCAGGATTAGACAGGAATCTGGGATGAAACATGGCCAAGGACTTCAAAGGAAAAAGGACAGGAAAGGAACTAGCACAAAGAACTGGATGGGAGCCTGCCTCCAAAGATGGCAGGAAGAAGGGGCTAGGCTGCGCAGGATGGGGTGACAAGAGCCATGCATGTGACTAATGTTGGTCATCCTCTGCAAATAGTGGTGAAATCCACGTACTTAGCTTGTCTGTAGTAGCTGGTCCTTGCAAGAACTAGAAACCTATCTGTCCTGGTTTCGGCAGGGATAGAGTTAATTTCCTTCCTAGTAGCTGGTACAGTGCTGTGTTTTGGATTTAGGGTGAGAACAATGTTGATAACACACCGATGTTTTAGTTGTTGCTAGGTAATGCTTACACTAGCCAAGGACTTTTC